ACTAGTGATGCATTAGAAGAAAATTCAGGGCAATAATGTAACAGAATGTTAGCAGTGTTATCTTAGCCGGAGTAGGAAGGAGTGGACTTGAGTCAGTAGCCTACTCCTATTATGTGAAAATAAAAACATGACATAATCTGTTTATAATAAGTATGGTTTTAATGTAGAAGCAAATTTCAAGAGGTCTTCTGTGTGACTGTGTGTATGTGTGAGGAGTTGACTTTCTCTACACCTAAGGTGTCACGGGTTGTCCACAGTCAATTGTCATCTTTCCTTTCTTACCAAGTTGAACTAAAAATAAATTCTTAGAGCAGAGTAGATTTTATTCAGGTCATGGAGCCTTCACAAATATGTTAACCAAAAAATAAGGGGGCAGGGGGAGAGTGGCAAAAATGACATTAAGCTATGCACAGTTTTGTAGTCATAAATTTCTGTAGAGAATGCATATGATTTCCTTTAGTTCCATTATTTCCAAAAAACTCTCGGCTTAACCCAGAAAGCACAGTAGAATAACTATTTGCAGGTTTTAACTGCAGGCATGCCTCATTTTATTGTGCCTCACAGATACTATTTTTTTTTAATTAATTGATGGTTTGTGCCAACTCTGCCACAATAGGTTATGAATCCTTGAAGTATCAGATAGTGGTCAGCATGTTTTATCGTGAAAATATTTTTAATTAAGATACATTCTTTATTAGACATAATGCTGTTGTCTACTTAATAGACTAAAGAATAGTGTAAACATAACTTTTTATGCACTGGGAAACCAAAATAATTGTGTGACTCACTTTATTGCAATATTTGCTTTATTGCGGTCATCTGGAACTAAATCCACAATGTCTTGAGATATGCCTGATTTATATTAATTTTATACTGTTACTAATTGAGGTTTCAAGTTCCCAATATTTTAACTTTTTACTTTTTAAATATATTTTATTGATTTTGCTGTTACAGTTGTCCAAATTTTTCCTGCTTTGCCACCCTCTGCCCAGTACTCTTTTACTCCAGCAGTCCCCTCCCCCCTTAGTTCATGTCCATGGGTCATGCATATAAGTTCTTTGGCTTTTCCATTTCCTATACTTTTCTTAACATCCCCCTGTCTATTTTGTACCTACCAAGTAATGCTTCTTAATCCCTGCACCTTTCCCCCCATACTTCCCCTTCTCCCTCCCTGCTGATAACCTTCCAATTGATCTCCATTTCTGTGATTCTGTTCCCATTCTAGCTGTTTGCTTAGTTCATTTTTGGTTTTGTTTTTCTTTTTTGATTCAGTTGATATTTGTGAGTTTATTGTCATTTTACTGTTAATAATTTCTATCTTCTTTTTCTTAGATAAATCCCTTTAACATTTCATATAATAAGGGCTTGGTGATGATGAACTCCTTTAGCTTTACCTCGTCTGGGAAGCACTTTATCTGCCCTTCCATTGATAAATGATAGCTTTGCTGGATAGAATAATCTAGATTGTATGTCCTTGCTTTTCATCACTTAGAATACTTCTTGCCAGTCCATCCTTGCCTGCAAAGTTTCTTTTTTGAGAAATCAGCTGATTGTATTATGGGAACTCCTTTGTGGTTAATGTTCTGCTTTTCTTACTGCTTTTCTTGCTGCTTTTAAGATTGTCTCTTTATCTTTAACCTTTGCCATTTTAATTATGATTTGTCTTGATGTGGTCCTCTCTGGGTCCAATTTATTTGAGACTCTGTGCTTCCTGGGATTGTAGGTCTGTTTCCTTCACTAAATCAGGGAAGTTTACTTTCATTATTTTTTCAAATAGGTTTTCAATTTCTTGCTCTTCCTCTTCTCCTTCTGGCATCCCTGTGATTCAGATGTTGGCACTTTTGGAGATGTCCCAGAGTGTTCTTATTCTCTCCTCACTTTTTTTTAAATTTGTTTCTTCATTTTCTCTTAGTTGACTATTTATTTCTTCCTTATGTTTCAAATCATTGACCTGAACCCCAGCTTCCTTTCCTTCACTGCTGGTTCCCTGTAGATTTTTTGTATTCACTTAGTATGGCCTTCATTTCTTCTCTTCTGCTTTTGTCATACTCAGTGAATTCTCTGAGCATCCTTATCACCAGTGTTTTGAACTCTGCATCTGATAGGTTGGCTATCTCTGTTTCATTTAGTTCTTTTTCTGCAGTTTTGTTCTGTTCTTTGAGCCATAATTTGAGCCATATTTCTTTGTCTCCTAAATTTGGTAGACACCCTGTGTTTGTTTCTGGGTATTACTAGGTAGAGCCACTTTGACTCTCTGTCTCAGTGCACCTGTTACATTGTACGGGCAGAGCCTTGGTAAATCACCAGGTAAAGGCACCCCACTCACTCTGCTTCTTTGAAGCTCTTTATGTGGAGGACAAGTCAGAGAGGGGACAGTGCCACTACCTGGCTACTGGAGGCTTGTTCAGCCCTTGCCCCATTTTCAGTCACTTCACCCACTTACCATATGCAACTGGCACCGCTCTAGCTGTTGCCCTGGTGGTAGTTCCCAGAGTGGGTGGTTTTGTGTATGTTCTAGGACTACAGGCCCTTTAAATGGATTCTCCTGAGATACTGGCATTCTCTTCTGTTGGCCCAACCCCCCCCCCCCCGCTGTTTTTTGCAGCCAGAAGTTATGAGGCTTTATTTTCTCAGCACTAGAACCCTGGGCTGCACGTCTGACCTGGGGCTCAATGGCTCACTCTACCAGAATCCTTCCTGATTTTTATCCACTACATGTGAATATGGGACTGCCCATTCTGCCAGTTGCTGCCATCTCACTGCCCTCACACCATGTGTCCTCTCTGCTGTGGCCCCCTATCTCTGCCCCTCCTACCCATCTGATGAATATGGCTTCTTTAAAGCCGTGGTTGTCAGACTTCCATACAGTTCGATTTTTCAGCAGTTCTGGGTGTTTTTTGTTTGGAGGTTAGTCGTGATCCTTCCTATGGTTACCTCCTTCCTAAGGAGGCAAAGCATGTCTACCTATACCTCCATCTTGACCAGAAGTCAGGTTTCCAACTTGAAGAATCACGCAAAAATATGTATAATGACTAAAAATGTACTTGGCATGTAGCGTTTCTTAAAGGCAGCTTGATAAAACAGTCATACTAAATTGTAAAACTTAGTGCTCATTAACTGGGTAATCACATTTCTCTGAATGTATCAGTTGTATACTGAGGTATTTTGCCTGGTAAATTTTATTTCTAACATTGTTCATAAATTTAAAAAACATGAAAGGAATTTCAATGTCCAAAGTAGAGGAATGGTTAGATAAAATTTGATATGTAACTAGATTTAATGTGGTGTGTGATGGAGTATTACAGATCAGTAAATAAGATCCTTGAAAACTGATTGATAACATGAGATATTATTTACAAAATTATGTTGACTATAAAAGAATGTTATAAATCTTCATGTTTTAATTTATTAATAATTGTATGTGTTTGCAGTTTTTTAAATTTTCAACATTTCCAAGTTTTCTACAACAAACATTAACTATTAACATTATGAAAATACTTTAATAATCTTAATAAAATTCATAAAATAGTTATTATGGTTAGGTTTTTTTCTTTTTTTATAAGTTGTCGGTAGTAACATTTTTTTAAATGGTTTCCTCTGTCAGAATAAGTGAGATTTCTAATATTTAAAAGTATTCTTTAATTTCAGAATTTCTCAGTAATTTTTTAAAATTTAGTTTTATTGAAGTACAGTTGACATATAGCACTGTAAGTTGGACAGCATAATAATTTACTTACATTCATTATAAAATTATGACCATAATGTTTCATTAATATCCATCATCTTATATGGTCATATCTGTTTTACTAATTAACAAAATCTGAAGATGAACATGGATAGTGGTAATTCTTTCCTTCATTCTGATGGAATTTCACCCTTTTAACTACTTAGAGAATATTCTTTAATCATTGAGCTTTATAAATTTCACTGTATCTACTTTAGTGTACTTGTGTTATTCTTTGTTCTCATGAGGGGCATCCTTTAGTACTTTTGTAAGTTAGTTTTAGATAGGTTTTTTGTTGTTGTTGTTGTTCCCAGGTTTATTTTATATTTTAAAGCAAAATAGCTTGTCGTTATACTCAGATTATATCAGATTTTCAGTAAAGTCATTTAGAAACCATAGAGAGACCTATTCATCTTTGATAAGGTATCATTTTTGTGAGTGTGTGTTTACTCCTAATGCTCACAGTGGATTAATTATAAGTTAGGGACAGGTGGCGTTTGTGTATGTCTGCTCTTTGAATGTGAATCAATAAAATATATGAATACACATCCTGGTGGTAATATAAAATACAAGGCTTGTGTGTGTGCACATGATTGTGTGTGAGTATGTGTGGTCATAATTCACTGTGCTTGGAGTTCAAAGTCAGGGAGAGACCATTGCAAAATAGCCCATTCCTTGAAGAGAATGTGCTTGTGTACTAAACAGAACTTTCAGTGTTAGTTTTATATTTTTATTTGATAGAATCTAAGGTTATGGAAACAACTGTAAAAATAATTTGTCCGAAAGAAGTCTGAATACAGTAACCTAATAGAGAAAATACTTGAGAATAAGGTTCATCAGCGACTACGCAGATAAACTTCCTCAAGTACCACATGGTGGAAGGGAAGAGAAAAATGTATAATATTCTGGGTGGAAAAACAGAGAATCTCAAAAACAAGTACAGATTTTATCATTGCATTATTTACATTAAAAGATAAGTTCTGTCTTCTTGAATCCTTAGCGGTCTGAGGCGAGAGCTTTGCACCTAACAAAAAGCCTGTCAAATGCCTTTAATACACGGTGGTACATTTCTAACATTGGACTTTTCACATTTGGGAATTTAACTCTTGCTTTTAAATAACAATGCAGAACTAATTAGTGAGATCCATGGGAAGGTGAAACCCCAGATTCGTTCCTGTTCACTTTTGGCCATTATGGGTTCCTCTGCATTTTGCATGTGGTGGGATGGTCCTTGGCAGCAAATTCCTTCTCTTATCCTGTGTGTGTTTTCTTTCAGTTTGTCCCATGAGGAGCACCCCCATAGCCACCCTCTCTATGGACATGGTGTATGCAAGTGGCCAGGCTGTGAAGCAGTGTGTGAAGATTTCCAATCCTTTCTAAAGTAAGAATCATTTTATATTGCTTTCTTCTTTTTACATAGCTAGCTCTTCCCAATGTTCATGCTTTTCCTCATAAAATGCCTTTTTGCTGGAGGGTTCCACATCACTGCTTTGAGGGCGACTCTGTATCAGAAGGTCTGGCACTACTGTCTTGAGAATTGTTACAACTTCCAGGGAAGGCTGCACTTTCAAGAGGAAAAGGACTACTCGTATGGGCAGTTTGATACATTTAGTAAGAGCCTATGTTTACCTTCCCCCCCCCCCCCCCAAGAATGACAGTGATTAAAGAAGAAGTCTCTCAATGTTAAACGTGCAATAAATTAGTTTTCACTTTTATTCATGTCCCTACATAACAAATCCTCCTAACTCTACTTTTATAAAATTGATGTCAATTACTGGCCAATTGCTGTTTGTGTATTGGGCCTCTTCTTTGTTTTCATATAAATGACTGTAAATATAAGAAATGGATGCTAAGGAAATGCTGACAGCTTGATTCTTATATTTCTAATATCATTGTTGCCTTTTATTCAGATTCTCATCCTTATGGGGAGAATGGAATAACTTTAATTTCTATACTTAAAGTATGACTAAAACTTGGGTTATCTCATTCAAGTCTGAAACACTTGCAGAGGTATGTCTAGTCTAGCTGAAGTGAAATACTTCTGTACTACATCTTAATATTTCCTCTACCTGCCCTGTGTTATTGACACCTCATAAATATATTGATAATAGCATTGTCATTGACATGTAAACTGAATATGCTGATCTGTCATGCAACAGCCAAACATGCACAAATGTAAGCTTGTGTATATTGGTGCATAACAGTTTACAAATGGAATGCTGGAGGTTCTTTTCCTCTAGTTTTTCTCTCTCATTCAATCCGCAGGAAACAGAAACAGGCTAATTTGTGTTCAGGTGTCTGGCTTTGTGTGGTCTTTATATTTTTAGAACAATCCCTACATCTATCTTTATGGATGCGGATACAAATATCATAATAAAGACACTCTTAGAGATACAGCTAGTGTTATCTGCAAGGCATTTTTGGTGAATATCATTTTTTGATTAATGAATGGAAATCAGTGAATCTATTTCATAGCTTTCCAGCTTTTAATATTTTACTTTAAGAGCATTAAAAAATGTAAGTACTTAAAATTTTTTGAAAGAGATGCCTAAAGTTGTTTTCTAAATATCAACAATTGAGGTCAGTGATATTTTATGTTAAATTAAGCAATAGCCCTTTACCATTATTTTGAATCAAGTTAGTGCTTTGATCTGTTATAAGTCACTCATTATAGAATCTCTGTGTTGCTATTTCCTTATCATTTTCAAATTCCTATTTAGGTATTAAGAGAAAAAGATCTTTGCAGAAACCACGTTTAAATTCTTTCTTGGTACTATTTTTACTCATCTGTAGAATGGCTGGTAAACGTGTGAATATGATATATTTTTATAAAGTCTTTAGAACTATAAAATTGCTGTCAATATTTTTAGTGACGTGTATCAATTTCAGAGTCACAGGAAAAAGTGCAGTTTTCCAAGTTGACCCATTTAAAAAAATTGTTAACAGCTAAGAGTATTTCCATCCAAATCCACAAATGTAGGTCATTTATAATGTGAGCTGACAATTAGGTGATACACACATACACGTATGTATATGAATGTATATATGTGAAGGGACACCTCCACAAGAAGTCAGTAAAATTTCAAACCACATCTAGTATGGAAGAAAAGAATCTAACCGTCACTGGAAATGAGACCTAGACTTGATTCCTGTTTTTTAAAAAGCCATTTTCTAAGGATATTAGGAGTCTGGCTTTTGTATAGGAAACAACTTAAAAAATACTATGGTTTCACACATTACATAGCATGCTTTCAGTTCATGTTTGCTCAGTGGAATTAGAATGTCCACTATCAACCTGCAACTTTAGCTTACTTCCTAGTATACTTGCTTATTAACATATATTTGCCAGAAGATTTTTGTTTTGTTTACAAGCTATAGAGCTGCAACTTAAATTAGCTTCAGCCAAAAAAGAAGTATGTGCTTGGGGGGATGCTGAATGATAGTTGGCTTTTGTAACTAGGAAGTCCAGTGGTATGTAGCATTCAAGCATGGCTGCATCCAGGTCCATAAACAGGGACTTTTGAGTTTTGGTTCTTTGTCTGCTCTATTATCTGTTGTGTTGCCTTCATTCTTCAGCTCGTTCCAAGTTGAACTGACTGAAGAAGATCACAAGTTCATCAATCCCAGAGTGCATCTCTTTTCCAGAAAAATTCCTGGGCAGACTGTCGTTGCTCAGACTGAGTAATGTGTTTTGCTATGAGCCAGTCACACAGTGATGAAGCCAGAATTGTCTCACATGCCCACCTGCAGAGCACATGGAGATGTTCACTCATGTGGACTATGTGGGGGGGTAGGGACCAGAAATTTGGTTCCTGAAATTGAGATATGAATATTGTAAACTAGCACAAGGAGAGTAAATGCTAGATAAGAAAAAAAACCCTCTAGAACTCAGAGTTAGCTCTCTTGGTGCTTTCCTGAGTTACATGTTGATTGGCCACATATGATAAATTTAGGATTTTGAGTTTCTTCTACAGCATGAGTTTTGCTCTTAGAAATTCAGAGTTGTCTTCAGGTTTTTGGTATCTTGCCTAATGTAGTAGTATGTTAGTCTTCTGACAGATTCATATCTCCTATGTCTCTGTGCAGTCCAAAGGGGAAGCACAGTGGCTTTAATGAAGCCAACTTTTCCTTTTAGTGAAGTGGACTGAAAAAGCCACCCAACTTTTGCCCTGGCCTGTGTGGTTCAGTTGGTTGCTGAATCATCCTGTAACCTAAAAGTTGTGGGTTTGATTCCTGGTCTGGGCACGTATGGGAGGCAACCAATTGATGTTTGTCGCTCTCTAAAAGCAATTAAAAAATGTCCTCAAGTGGAGCTAAAAAAGAAAAAGCTACCCAAATTCTTATGGTTCAGAGAAAAGCATGTGGCTTCTCTGAATGATGTCATCATGGAGTCATTGTTATTAGGAAGAAATGTTTTAAGCATTTATTCTCAAATTGCCAGATTCATAGACTGTGAAAGCACCTTGTTTCTGGGCACCTACTTCTCTTCTATTATCTATCTCTTTGGAGGTATTTTCTTATGGTTTAAGCAAATTGATACCAGTGGTACTTGTATTCTCCAAGGCACTCTTACAAAAAGTAGCCTTGCTCTGTCCTTGAAGTAGGTGTTGTTTTGTATATTTTCTTCACCTGTATTCTAATCCCCTAATTTTAAACTTCCCTAGTCAGAGTTCATAATTAAATAACCCTGAAGTATAGAACAGGCACAAGTCCAAGTGCTTTACATATGTAAGTCATTTAATCCTCACAAGCACTTTGTAGTGATACTATAAAAGTACTACTCTCAGCCCACAGGTAAGAAGACTAAGTCACAGAATACAGTAAGTCGTACAGCTTATAAGGGGTGGTGTCACAGTCCAGACTCAGGCATTCTGGTTTTATAGCCTTTGTTCTTAACGACTACACAATACTGTCTGTTTAGAAGCAGTGCATTTTATTAACTATATACTTTCTATTTAAGGTACTCGGTCTAAAACAAAACTTGGAAAAAAGTCAGTTTGGGTAGTGAAGCCACTTACTATTAGTGTGAGTATGTTTTCTGTGCTGGTTACATAGCATCTCTGAGCTTCAGTATCAGCTCATGTAATTTGGGATAATAATAGTAACTAACCTCTTAGGGCTGTTAAAATTTAAAGGTACATCATGTAAAGTACCTAGCCCATACTAGATACTCTTTAAAAATATTAATACGTTTCTTCTTATTTATCTAATTAAATATATTTTAAGTGGGGATAATTTAAGCTATCGAAGCATTTCTGACCTTGTTTGTATTTAGGGACTATGCACGGTATTGATGTCTTAGAAAAGTCTCTTCTTAATCATTTTTTATCCATAAATTTCTGCTAAAAATTCTCACATAGTTGAATGTGGTTTTAGGGCAGAGGATAGCAAACTTTTTTTTTAATAAAGGATCAGGTACTTAAATATGTTAGTCTCTGTCACAACTGCTCACCCTTGCCCCATTGTAGCACACACACTCATCCATAGGACCACATGTCAGGAGTGGCTGTGTCCCTTGGACCAGATTCCTGACCTCTGACCTAGGGTAAAATTTTTGGTGTTATCACATTTTTACCTGAGAACTCTTTTTGTAGTTCCTTGGTCATTGCTGTGCAGTGTTATTTTTGTTTGAATTCACAGAGTCCTTAAGTTTATTCCTATTTGGGGGAATATCCATGCATGTCTTGCCCTTTGCTTCCTTTACCAGCCGCAGTTTTTACACTTCCATGGGCCAGGGTTCCTCCTGGTATTTACATTATAAGAGGGGAAAGTGGTAACTTTTTTTTCTGATCTTCTGTTGCTCAGGCTACTATAATATAACTTTTAGAGAGGCCAGGATCAGTTATTCAGGGTAAAAAAACCTATCTAACAATAAAATGTCACTGTTAACAGTGAGCGGGATTAACTAAAGGGGTGGGCTCACAGGTCTAAAGATGAGGTATATTTTTTGGCCCTCCTGAGAAAGAAATATCATTACTGTTGGTAAATCAAAACCAGAGATGTGACACTTTTCCGTGGCCATTCTACAGTATTATCCCAACGTGAGGTATGCTACAGGGTCTTGATTTCAAAGATAAATACTATACAGATCAGCATGCTGTTGTCTTTCCCTGACAGCTTTATCAGAATCAGCACATACTCGGTCCATTGTAGGCATTTATTTCCCTGTTTCTTCTCAAAATAAGTTGCAGTTTTAATGTTGATTTTTTAAAATCTATCAACCATGAGTTATCCTGTGACTGTTGTATTTGTTAGAGCTAACTGATACCAGCAGGTGCTCCTGCTAACTTTAATGAAATCCTCCAGCCCTGCATTGCTTGGAATCCCTAGATATAGCAGAAAAACAAAAACAAGCCCAGTGCCATCCAGATGGGCAGATGG